TGGAGAAGAAAACGAGAAATGCAGAGAACATAGTGTTCCACTATTCTCTGAGTGATCTTTTGTTGAAGACTCTGCTGGAAACTCCATGTAAAACGGCTTGAAATCACCATTCGAAATCTTATACTTTTCCGACCAAAGCAAGTTTCTTGCACCTGCGTCTCAGATCTGCTTCTATCGCTTGAGCAAATCATTGAATCTGCCACCTTATAAAAAAGCCTTTTTTATGTTAATCCCGAGTGCTCACCTCCTTATTTGTGATTTATTTTGAAGGAAATATTTTTGTAGCGCTTCCTCAGTGATTTTTTTCTGATTCACACATGATAATTTTCTCTGATTTTTCCATTTTAGATCTTCTTGATGTGACAACACAGTTAGCAACAAACGTCCAAGCACATATTTCAAATCTTGATAAGAAATTGGAACGTATATCTAAACGAATGCATCAATCATCTGTAAGTGTTTGATGTCTGCACTACGACATTTGTTATTCTTATTTTCAATTTTTAGGGCAATACAGTTTTGGACAGATACCGAACAGGGGGTGACACATTTCCAACAGACATTGTAAGCTTGTCTATCTTTCTACTTAGTCTCAGTTCATTTATTTGTCTGAGCCTTTTTTTGCAGGATTACAATGGACAAAATTTACTCGACATATATGCTAGGGGCGATCATACAAAATATGCCAGGGAAATATTAAAAATTTTATTTACAAATGCTGAAATGAGTCGTTCAATTTTAATGCCAAATCCAATATTTTCAAAACCTGGTTTAGATCCTGGTTTAGATCATCTAGAATGGCCATTTTCAAAAGTAATTTATATACTTTTTTTACTGCTAAGTTGGGATAAATATATTTTGATTTTCTAAAATTTTTCTGGAGCTTTATATTGAGAATGAAATTGGAAAAAGTGAGACAGGTGCGCACGTTTGGGAAATAATGAGTAAAACGTGTTTCGTGGATCGAACTCTTGTTTTTTTCTGTCGAAAACCGACTGATCTAAATTAAAAGTTATTTTTGCAAACTTATTTTTGGGCAAAAAAAGCAGAAAACACCTATAAAACTGAGTTTGCTCGATAGTTCGTGCTTTATGAGTAGTAAATAGCGCGAGATCTAAAAATCTGGCTACTTAGGCGGCGAATGCAGTTCAGAAGCCTGGTTCAGAGCAATACTTATTTCCCGTTGTCTAAGAGGAAGTAGGTGAAGAGGAGGATATCCATAAAGACCGAACGGTATTGATGAATATCCTATAACTGTATTTCACTGCAATCAAAATGTGAAAAAACTCGGAGATACCGATCTTATTGTATAAAAGACACGCGAAGTATAGCTCCCCAGCATGTATGATATCCGACCGAATAAGGATTCTAATGCTACTCATTATTGTTCTGTTTTTTCTTGTAGATGCTGTTAGTGCAAAATTTCAGATTGCTCCTACTCATTGGAATACATTTTTTACAGATTGTTTGCATCGTACACTCACACAATTGATTTGTGATGTTAGAAAAAAGTATAATCGAGAATTATATCAACGACAGATACAAACAACAGGTGATCAAGTGACAACAGCTACTGTTTAATCATTTACTCTCAGTTCTGAACAGTCATCAAATGTATATTTTTTTATATTTTTGTTCTGGTCATTATTTTTGTTGAACAAAATTACAAGTAATTTTTATTTGTACAGTAGGATTACATTTAGAAACCGAACTTTATTTTTGTATCTTAAAATTTTTGTATGATGTATCGAACCGTTTTTCGTTATAATTTTTTCAAAAACGTGTTTTTGAATTCTCAACTTTTTTGTGTTAATAAGTAGTGTTTTTTTGCTTTACTGGAAAGCTAGTAGACCTTAGTTTTGTTAAGAAAAAAAAAACTGTTATTAGCTATTTTTCTTTGTGTGTTTTTCTATGTGATTTGACGATATGAACAATAAAGTTGTATATAATAGTAGAATACGATGTATTACACAGTGTGAACGAGAAGGTACCGAATAAACTGCAGGCGGGAACAGGAAGCTACCAGTAGTAGGAAACTGCATAAAATCCTACATAGGATCCTATAAAATCCTACAAAATCCTACGTAGGATCCTATGAAATCCTATACAGGATCCCATAATATCTTATGAAGGATCTGATAGGATCCTACGGTAGGAAAGTATAGGATAAATCCAAGACAAAGAAGTCTTACGTCTTTCCTACAAGATCCTACGTGGATTTGATAGGATCCTACGTAGGATCTTGTAAGAATCTTGTAGGATCCTACGGTAGGATTGTTTGACCTGGGTATATGTTCATTTAACGTCTTTTTTACACATTTCATGCGAAAAATCGACAACATTTACCAACTTTACTCACTTGGAAATTTCCCAGAAATAAGTCATTATATAAAAGGGGACGAGAACAAATCGGTCTCATCTACTTTAGAGAGTCTACGAGACAGATACTTCTTAGCATAAGAGTCCAGATATGGTTCGTTCACCACTTCAAAAATATCGTTCTTTTCCACAAAATACGTCGATGAATAATGCGGAGGCCCACACGATATTTTCTATAAAACAGTTCTTGTCGAATACGAGATATTAGTGGGAAAAAGAGAAAAATCCAGATGAAGAATGGAAACGAATAAGCAAAAAAACAGAGATGTAGCACATTGGTTGATATGCGTCTGTTTCGTTTGAATCGTCTCAATTCTGCATACGATTTTTCTATATTAAGTAAGCCGTTCATCACCGTATGTTTCAGAGAGAGTTTACTCGTCAATTTTGTAGGTCTAACAGGAGAAACGTTAAGGTATGGGAAGATTGACTACTGGCTGTTGGTCTTCACATCAAAGGATATAAGTTTCCAGATCTATGCAAAGTTTTCTCGTGTTTTATAGAAAGAGTATGAAACCATACTTTGTTTACTTCAAGACTTTTGCCTGGAGGAACAAAATAGGGCGTCATCACTTGAATGGTATAAAAACTATATCCGCTTTTTATCTTCGTTAAAAAATCGAGCCACTGGTTGGATGAAACGGGAAAATTTTAAATCGACTCTACCAGCCAATATTTTAAAAAAATTAAAAGTAGTTAGGAAGTGTCGGAATAGATACTATCATAATAGATATGAGAGAGACAGAGTCATAGTTCGACGGCTCTTAGGGAAAGTGAAAAACGACATTTACAAGTATAGATCTCTTTTGAGATTTTTCGTTTTCCAGAGACCTCCGTCTGTGTACATCACCTGAGACTGAAAATTCTTTCAGCTGTTTAAATCTTTTTCCAGATTTGTTCTGGCTGCTATGGTTGATGACAAAAATGAAAACTAAAGATGGCGAACAATTTTTGGACCCGCTGTGGGATTAAGTGGCGAACTATTTAATGCATGGCAGAACCACTGAGAAAAACCTGGAAATTTTAAAAGAATGTCCATCCTGTCATGCGTCAAAAAGTGATGCATCTACTATTTCTGTGGATAAGAGTGATTCTAGCACGCAAACTGAGATTTTACCTTTCAATGCCTTTGCTAAAACTTTACCACTTAATACATCTGCTAAAATCTCTGACAAAGAATCCACACTTGTTGCAGAACGAAAGACGAGAAAGAAAGTTCCTGTTAAGTCTCAGAAACCGCACAGAAGATCACCATCTACTGATCAATCTATTTCTCCTCTTAGAACAGAAGTTGATCTTAAGTCTAAAAAGAAAAAGAAAACAAAAATCTAACAAAAATCATCATCAGAAATCTTCTGCACCATCCTTATCATCTTCAAATAGTTCCTTAACAGGAAGTAACGCTATGCATTCAGATAAAAGTGAATTTTTAGAAGTTCAGAAGAAAAGTAAAACTTTGAAAAATACGAAATATCACCGAAAAAAAACGCTTCTTCTTTTTCCAGTAGCGGTGATAAAGATGATTCGTATTACGGTGGGAAAGAGGCAACTTAAGATAATTTCTTAATCGACCTATGCACTTCATTTTGAAATTTCAATTCAAACGCTAAAAAAAGAAATTAATAAGATCATAAAGCATATACGTTGAGAAAGAAATTCCCTAATTTCTTCTCATGTGTACCTACTTTTCAAAAAACACTCATTGGAATGTGTTGGCACAAGTATATATCGTGTTAAACACGACTAAAAGCAAACTTTTGTAATGCCCAAAGTATAAGATTTTGGATGGTGATTTCAAGCCGTTTTACATGGAGTTTCCAGCAGAGTCTTCAACAAAAGATCACTCAGAGAATAGTGGAACACTATGTTCTCTGCATTTCTCGTTTTCTTCTCCACTCTATGCAACTTCTTA